AGTTTTGGGAACCTATGCAAAAACATTCTGTCCTGCAATAGGTACAGAACATTCGCTAGTAACACTGGGTTTTCGTTCCGAGACTTGTATTACAGTCAGTCATTTTCCCTTAAGGATTTTTGTTTTAAAGAGCCCTGTGAAATATGTTTAACTCCTTGCGTCTACTGCACCACAATTAAATATCAAATCACTCTTTAATAGATGCCTGCTTATTTTTATTTAAACGCTGGCAAAATAGCGGTAAATTAAATCAGAATTGCCTTTCCATACACGCCTCTTTATTCCCCCCCCCCTGTTTTAATACCCAAGGCAATTTAGTTGATTCTCCTGCATATTTTCATGTAAAGAACTCTGTGTAACTCTGTGTTAGCAGAATACTTGCTGTCTTGTGGGTACAGAGAGATCCTCCTTTTATTCGTTAGGAATGCAGGGTCATTCATATCCTGGCAGCGCTTTACATTCATGACAAATACAGAGTTCCGGATGGAAAGCTCTTAAGGATGGAATGTTTGTCCTCTTCTTTGTGCTCCATGGACAGAAGGGTCTCTTTCGAGGGCCAGGCTGAGATAACTATGCTGGAAAAAGCTCGAGTCGCCTTGGAAATATTTCATTTCTGTTCAGAATCGCAGGGCACCGATTTTCTTCTCCACAAATCAAATCTCTGCTGCTAAAATATTTTATTCTTGCACAGCTTCCAGGCAAATACCATTGTACCGTGGTATAATGGTAGCCCAAGCACGGACATGAAAGAGGAAGGTGGCTTGAGTCTACTGGTCTGGACGTGCTCCCACCCCTCACTACCACATATTCAACTGGAGGTCTGAAGTAGGGGTACCAGCTTCCAAGCAGGACCTGGGGATCCCCTGGAATTACAGCTCATCTCCAGACTACCCTTGGAGAAAAATGGATGCTTTGGAGGGTGGACTCTGTGGCATTGTACCCCACTGAGGTCCCTGTCCTCCCCAGGCTCCACCCCCAAATTTCCAGGAGTTTCCTAACCTGGATCTGGCAACCCTACCCCTGCATCCCCTGCTAGTGGGCAGGGAGGACCTGGCAACCCTGGCTCCGAAACCAGTTCACACACGTGCACTTATTTGCATAGGCTTCGTACACGCTACTAGGGATCTTGCCTTCTCTAGGTTCCCCAGTGAGCAGAAAAAGCTTGTGTGCACACATTGGTATATACAGAGACCTACGCTGAACTTCAGGCTGTAGAAGGTCAGTAGTTCAGCAGTTCAAGACCCGAGTTGCCGCATGACGGAGTGAGCTCCCGTCTCTAGCTCCAGCTCCTGCCAACCTAGCAGTTCAAAAGCAAGAAATTGCAAGTAGATAAATAGGTACTGCTTCAGTGGGAAGGTAACAGCGTTCCCTGCGCCTTGGTGTTTAGTCATGCCGGCCACATGACCACGGAAACGTCTTCGGACAGCGCTGGCTCTTCAGCTTTGAAACGGAGATGAGCACCGCAACCCTAGAGTCGGACTCGACGGGCTTTCGAGCAAGGGAACCTTTACCTTTACTTACAGTTTAGAGAACCCCCTGTAACACCAGCCTTGTTTTGGTTAATCCCCAATCCTGCCTTTGTTTTACTACCATCTACAGTCTGTTACATACCCGGTTTGTGCTAAATGAAATGTTCAGTAGTAGAAGAGATACCATGTCACAATGCCTATTTTTGAGGAAACACACACTCAGCTTGTCCTGTTTAATAGAAGGAAGATTCCAAATGGGGAGCCATGTTAGACTGCAGCAGCAGGTGTTACGAATATGGACTTCTAGGCATTGGGTAAGTGAAATCAGCCTCATGAAAGCTCATGTCGGAATAAGTTTTAAACTTTAAGGTGCCACCACACTCCTGTCTTCTTTAATACGAGGTGACCTCATGGACTAAATCACAATGAATTAATTCAATCCAGCCAACCAGGTTTGCGGGTCAGGTTTTTATAAATTCCCAAAGATTAATTTAATAATCAGTTAATTGCTTGACTAAAGTTGTGGTAGTGTCAGACTGGAAGGAAAGTTCCCTGCAATCATTTCTGAACCTACCGCGTACTTCTGCCCTTCACAGAATACTTTAGGCCTTCATTCCAACTTGGCTTCATTCCAGCACAGCGCAATGGAATTAAATGGAACCATTCCCGATTTGTTCCGGGATGAGCTCATAGGAACCAAAAGTTTGCTCTATCAGTAGAGAACCTCTGTCACCATTTCTCAACTTTGTGCGATAACTGACCCATGACTCAGAAAGTCAAGAGGGTCTGGTTGTGTACGATTTAAAAAGATATCTCATCAGGAGCACTTGACCACAAGGGAAACAGGCTCCAGAAGAGTCTACCCAACATGGAAGCTAGAGGAGGTCAGTAGATCTGCGAGTTCCACTTTTAAATCCCAGTGGCACAAGTTTTATCTCGGAGCCGCCAGCTAGGTCTTTGGAATTTTCTTCTTAAGAGCGGCACTTATTAACGACACTTTGCCAAGCCATCAAGCAGAGCACTTTAAAGATAACTACACTGTGCAAAAAGGGCTTGCTGGCTTTTATAATGTGCCTTTGCTAGGGAACACATTCCTGAATCAACCCATCTTTCTTTTGATGTGTTGTTCTGCTACGAAACAAATGCTACCTCTCTTTTGCCAACAGAGGCTGCTTTCCTGTGTGTATTTTGCTTGGCCTTGCATCCCAAACTGGAGCATTTGGGATGGGGAAGGTCTTAACGAAATCACTGTGCAATTGTCCACATTTTGGGGTTTCCTTGCTTCACTGTCATCTCTCCCGGACCTTCTTTGGTATAATCTTTCTGGGAACATTGCAGTCAAAACAGGTTTGGTCACAGACTGGGCCGATTTCTAACTTCTTCACCCACACTGGCATCACTTTCCTGTGGTATCTCCTTGTACCCACTGTTCTCCAAACTGGTAGCTGCATCATAACACTATACCAACTTTTAAAAAGCTGGCAAAAAGCCAGCACGGAGGTGGTGGTGGTGATGGTAGGCATGAGAGAATATCAAGGAAATCACACAGATACCCTCAAGGTGGATGCTCCACTGGTGTTGTGATTGCTTCTGCATTTGCAAGGGCAACGAATGCACAATGAGGAATTGCCACCATGTAGATGCATCCAGAGATGGACAAAGTTGAGTAGCAGAGCATATGATTTGCATGCAGAAGACCTTACATCTGATGCCCAACATTGCCAACTGAAGGATGACTCAGGGAGAAGATTCTGGAAATGACCTTTTGTCCACCTGATATGCCCTAGGAAGCCATTAGCAATCAGAATCCTCAGCTGGATGAATCAATGGTCCAGCAGCAAGGCTGCTTCAGGGCTTGTAACAGTGGAGCTTATATCCCCGTGGATGAGTGGCAGCTGCAACTTCCCAATCCCTTCTCAAAGCGGCACTCCAGTAACAGTGGGTGGCAGGTGGGATTCTGCAGCCAGGGCCCTCTCCCAAATCTAGGAAGTGTGAATTCCTTATGGCTGAAAAAAATCCTGAGTACACTACAGAGAAAATATATTTTAAAAATGTAATTATAATACTTGTATCGAGGGCAGGGGGAAGACAACTCATTCACCTCTAAGAGGACTTTCTCTTTTGTACAGAGGCTGCTCCAAGTCCACAGACCGCAAGCACCGAAGTCTCTACACAGACTCTGGATTCAGCACAGCAGGGGATATTCTCCATCTATAGTAGGTTTTAAATGTTATATAGCCCTGGCTGAATGATGCCACAAGGAAACCATTTTCAGTGGACTTCGTATAATGTCTGAACTGGTCCCCAGAGAAACGAGGCACATATCCCATCAACATGGACTTATAAAACTGAGGACTGTTGAGGACTGTTGTGAAATGGTCCTTTGTCAAATGGTTTAGCTTCCACACAGTCTGAGGCTAATAAAAATGGGTGGCCGTTTCCCCTGTCCTGTTAAGCCACTTGTTCATCCCTTAGAAAAAACACTCTGCTGTTTTCTTCCATATGATAAACTGGGATCAGACAACAGAACAACAAAATAAAATCTGTAATGATTATGTATTTTATGACGGCAGTTAACCCATACAGAAAGAGAAAAAAGAGAGCAACCCACGGGTTCTGAAAGTAATTCTACATATTTTTGCTTACATTTTAACCACCGTCGGAACAAGTGGGATGAAACTGCTACCGTACGTGTGTTAACTGCCTTAATTTATGTGCCATATTTTATCCCCCCCCCCCAACAATGCATTTAGTTTTCAGAGAGGTGGTAAACCTGTATCTAGGCCACATGGCAGGGGATGGTTCCTACGATTGAATGCTTCTCCATATAAGAAATTCCCCTTCAAAGAAAACCAAATGGCAGAAGGAAGTATCTCTTCTCCCTGACAAGCTAACTTTCTGTGAGAGGATTTTTCTTTTCTTTTTGGCACGGAAGAACAGTTCAGTCATGTGAGCCCCTCTTGAATTGGTACAGTCCAGACACAGACTGACCAGTGATTGGATCCTGTGGGAAAATACACAGGTCTGAGTGTATTTTCCACCAAAGCCCATTTCAACTTTTGGGGGACAGTGTTCCACACTGTAGAAGATGTATGGGTTAGGGTTAGAAAAAGGAGAAAAGGGTTAAACAGTGTCTTTCTCCAGTGATTTCCCCCCTTCAGAGCAGCTGCCTGACTGCCAAATTAGCCTTTTAAAAAACCCAAACAGAAGAAAAACGACGGAAGATCCTATACAGGGGTCAAGTCTGCTTCTGCCAGAGAACGAGACTTAAGACACCAACACTGCTGACCAAAATGCTGATTCATGATTGCACTGTAAAACATAAACATTTGAGCTATTTTCTTCGACATGACCTTTGGCTTAATTTGATGTTATCTGTATAACAAACCGGTTCTGTCCTAGAAGCGTGCTAATTGCTGGAAAGAAACCCCCACGTTTCTCTGGTAATAGCTGCCTGATAAGGCCCGTCCAAAGACCTGCTCCAGGTTTTTCCCCCCTACTCTGGATGACCAGAGTCCAGTCCCTGAAGCATCACTGCTGACTCAGCTGTCTTGTTATAGCTGCTGCGATCCTCCTCCTGGATTCATCTAGAGAAGACGCTCTTTCGATGGCTGCAGCGCGGGAAGACCAGGCCCACTCATGTTGCTGCTCCTGTACCAACTGCAGGACGGCAGTTTAGTAGCTCTTGAAATGCTGCAGAATCCCGGGGGCGTTCTTCCTTTCCCACGATTTGAGCTTTTCTGACCATGACCACTGACCAAGCCAGCGGAGGAGGTGAGGTTGCCCTGACTGAGAGAAGACTGTGCCGATGGGAAATTTCCACTGAGCTTCTTTAGCTCCATTACTCGTTCTCTGGCCTGGGTCAAAGCTTCAGTGAGCTCATAGCGTTCCTCACACTCCCTGCGCACCGTGTCCTGGAGAAGAGCATTCTGCAAGCAGACAGAAAGGCATTTTTCATCAGACGCTGTCAAAAAAATTAAAAATAAAAGGAGGCACATTAACTGTTTGGGTGGTTTCTTTGCTTGATGGTGTTCAGGAAACAGAGGGGCACAGACTGGCCTACAATGCGCTGGAACGCTCCCAGCATGCTGCAGACAAACCATTTCTACGTTTTTGCTACTGCGTTTTGTTATATTAGAATGATTGGGGAAGGGGTAAACACAGCTGACATCAAAAGAGCTATTTTAGAGGTACTGTGAGAGGACCTTTTAACTCCTTTGCTTTGAATGGCAACGTCACAAACAGCGGGGGGGGGGTTTGTTTGTTTTTTTGCTTCTTGAAACGTTCTCTGAGTTCCAGGAGAGGCTTCCTTTTCAGCAGTCGGGTTGCAGGGGAGGGGTGGGGAAGCTGCTATTCATGACCCCCTCCCTCAACACACACTCTTTAGCCGTGCAGTTTGTCAGATCCAGGCAAAAGCTGATCCATAAAAACAACCCAATGACAAATTTTAAAAACGTGTCTTAAATTAATAAGGATCTTGTATTTGAAAGTCTGACAAATTATTTAGGCTAGTGGCCATCTGTCAGAACCCACAGCCAACAACGAAATACACGCATTCAGGAACGGTAATACTTTTATTGCAGAGCTATAGATGCAGTAACATAAGCACAGTTAAGAATGGCGGCGGCCACAGGGGCATAACAGGATATAGGGTATTCGTATGCAACCCCCCCCCCACAGCACTGGCCAATTAGGCACCCTCCTGCACGCGGGATAAAGCTTGGAGACCATTAGGTAGCTAAAGCTACATAAGAACATAAGAGACGCCAATGTTGGATCAGGCCAAAGGCCCATCCAGTCCAACACTCTGTGTCACACAGTGGCTGAGAACCAACACTCTCCCACGGCACCTAGGAAAACTCCAGACAATACAACTCCCTCCTGCACAGCTGTATAGATAAGCATTTCGGCGCAAAGCAGAAAAAGCACAGAAAGGAACGCAGTAGCAATTACCAGACACAGACCGAGCTCCCCAACCCCCATGGCAGCGTAGCTGACACCCCCCCCACATCCTGTGGCAATGAATTCCATAAGCTTGCCATGTGTTTGTCGGGGGGGGGGGGAGAGAATGGCTCAGATCCCACCTTGATTTCTGCAACTGCAAGGGGGGGGGATTATTTCTGACGATTCCCCCTTCCTTTGGGAGATCTCCAATTTCCCCACAAGCTATTACTTAGGGTCCCCCATCTCTTAGGAGCATCATAGGGTGAGTTTTGGGCTGCTGCAGTCAGGAGGACTTGGCAAAAAAAAAAAATCACCCCTACCTCATACCTGTGTAAATCTAGGCAGGATCCAAGCCAGTTTCTACCCATGCTATCTACACTGTTTTTCTACCCAATGACCAGCGGATTTGGATAGAGAGATATACAAGCTGGGTGTCATCACCATAGTGACATCCACCCCCAAAGCTATAACTTAGGTCTCCTAAACACTCTGAATACCATGGGAGATAAGATTTGACCCTGTGGAACCTCCAAGACAGCTACCACACTGAAGATAGTTAGTTTCCAATGGCAACCTTTGGAGTATGGTACATGAGAAACAATATAAACCAGTCCAAGGCACACTAATACCTAATTCAGCTTCCAAATGGCTCAACAAGATGGCACGATCTACTATACCAAAGGCTGCAAACAGATCTGGAGCTGCTCCACTACTGCTCTCTCAATCACTTTTCTAAGGAAGGACAAATTCGAGAGTGGGCAATAATTGGCCACAACATCCTTTCTGAATGGCTGGGTGAAGGTGCCGCGTGTGATTTATGATGGACATCAAGGACTCATTAATGTGATTCTTACACGATTTTAGCAGCCAGGATGGGCAAGGATCCAGTGCACAAGGGGTGGCCTTCACAGATCCCAGGATCCTGCCAACATCCATCAAAAAAACTGGGTCAAAGTGGCCCATAAGCAGATCAGACAGAGTATTATGCATTTCTTCTGCTTGGCCTATATTACAGGCAGTATCCGATTCAGAGTGTATTTGTTTTATTTTTATCAGAAAAACTTTGTGAAGGTACTTGTCTGTTCCTGAGACAATACAGGCTCAGATTTAGGAGTCAACAGATGTCAAGATACCTTAAATGACTGGGATGGTTTGTGAGCTCGCTGATGGATCTGTCACAGAAAAATAACATTTCTTTGCTGCTATCACCACTGGCTTCATAGCTTTTCCATAACTTGCTCTGTCAGATTTGATATGAGTTTTCTGCCAGCGTCTTTCGAAATGTCACCTGGCACTTTTTAGATAACCAAGCACTGCAGTAAACCACAAGGCTGCCTTCTGCCCCAAGGCTAGGAGAGGTCAATAACAAGCAATCTTGGCAAGAGCTTTGGAGAAGTTAGTGTTCCAGGCTCCCACTGCAATACCCAGATATTCGTGATAGTATTAATTCCCTAAATACAGCTTGAATGCCTCATATTGCAATTAACTAATTGATAATGGAGCAGTACTCATTTTCTAGAGTCATACGGTATGACTCTCAGAACCTGTTCATCAGTTGAGATCATTAAAGGCCCTTCTCCATAGGGTTGGGAGGCCTGGCCTATTAACCAACAGGAGACTGGGTGGGGTGACTGTCAGCGACAGCATGTCATTTCTGGGGGAAACCCAGATGGGACATTAGTCCTTCCTAGAATTGCTGGAAAAACTGGGGTAAAGCCATAGAGGAAGAAGAAGAGAAGAGAAGAAATTGGATTTATACCCCGCCCTTCACTACCCAAAGGAGTCTCAGAGCGGCTTACAAACTCCTTTCCCTTCCCCTCCCCACAACAGACACCCTGTGAGGTAGGTGGGGCTGAGAGAGCTCTTGACAGAAACTGCTCTTTTTCAAGAACAGCTGTGCCAGAACTAGGCTTGCCCAAGGTCATCCAGCAGGTGCAAGTGGAGGAGTGAGGAATCAAACCCGGTTCTCCCAGATTAGAGTCCGCACACTTAACCACTACACCAAACTGGCTCTCCTTCCTGGAGAAGACTGATGTCACATCCAGGTTTTCCCTGAAAGTGATGTCACGCCATCAGTGACGGTGATTTCTTTCTTTTTCTGTTTTTAAAGTTTCTTTTCTGCACAGGCCACTGGAGTGCTGGTGGGCAGGGCCCACTGGGGGTGGTCACATGACAACCCTTCTCTTCCAGGTACTCACAGCTTAGGCAGGGGTCTACCAAATACAGGGCTTTTTCTGTGGTTGTCCCCTCCTATGGAACTCCCTCTTAACCTGGTATTATCTCTGTTACCTTCTAGGCACTGGACAAAGTCCTTTGTCCTTCGCCGTTTTTCTCTTCTGCACCACCTCTCACCCAGCACTTCAGTCCTTCATAATTTTGGTTTTACTGCTGTCTTCATTGGCGACTACTTTTTATTGGATTTCATTGGTGGTTATGTACCATAACCCACTTTGAGTGCCCCACTGAGACAGAAGGACATCATATGCCTTTTAACAGTAAACATATATACCCTATGAGGAAATCTCTTGCAGAAGCTCCATTGCAAGGCATGTAAGCTACAAGCTTTTCCCAGCAATTCCATTTAGCAGTTCGAATGCTAGGTGATTCACTGACAGTATACATGTTTTCCAGGAAAACATCATTTCAGCAAGTTAGAGGTGGCTGCCCCCTCCCCCCCATACTTGAAATGGAGCAGGTTAAATATGTAAATAATGGAAAATAAATGCCTGCAGTACAGCAATAATCATTGGACATGAAGACTTGGAAAAATGTTAGATGTGTTTGCATTTTATAAGGAAGAAGAACACACACACACACACAGCTAAGGACCTACTGAAGGATCTAAATTATGAGCTCGGTAATTTTAAATCTGATTAGTGCTGAATCTGAAAGGAGACTTCATTATACAAGAAATGAAATCACTGCAGTTCAATCAATTTCCCACACACAGACACACACAATTTATTTCTTCCCAAAAGCACAAGAGGTAATAGCAGATTGAAAGGCTGAACGAATTATCCACAGCCCAATACTGACTAACCTCCAATGACAGGAAACAAAAGATAATCAAGGAAGTTTTGAGTTAGACAGAAAACAGAACTTTCTCCAGTTACAATGTGATTTCCAGTTTTCAGATCTCTGGCGGGTAGGGCAGGCAACAATCCCAGGGACAAAAATATTTTATTTTAGTTGCCAAATTTTATAATATGCTAAAAACTTCTGTTAGTAATAGAAACCTGTCTTTGGATCAGTTATGATGCCCTCATATGACATTCGAAAAGCATAAAAGAGATGGTCTAATTTAAGACAATGCTTTGGCCAGGGGTCCCCAACTTTGTTGAACCTGCGGACACTATTGGGATTCTGAGAACAGATAGTGGGTGTGACAACAAAACGGCTGCCATGGACAAAACAATCACAAAATGGCTGCAATAAAGGCACGGTCCATTTATAGAATGTTGGAAGGTTCCCCCAAGTATTAGGAGGTTCAGAACCAAGCATTCTCCTATCACAGAGGCAGCGCCAGAAACACAAAGGAGGGTAGTCTGGAGCCCACAGAATCACACTGGAGATTAATGCTTTTGGTGCTATACTTTTATCAACCTGAAGACAAAAGATTAATGTCTGGATCTCGGACATTTAGTAAAGGTGCTAATTTTTTCATCATGTTACCCATGCAAAAGGATAGAAATCTGCTCCTTATTCTTGGATCTCTCCCTAGGATATTAATTTCTCTCCTCACCCGCCCACAAACCTTAAAACATTCATATTTCTTTTCCATTTCCTTCCTGAACTTGTTCCTTCTATTTATATAAAGTTTCTTGACTAATGGTCTTTCTACTGAGTTCATAGCCTACTGTTTAATTGTGCTTTTTCCATTCTCTGCCCTTTCCCCTTTTATGTCAGGTCTGTCCACAGTTGGGTTCTTTTTCTTGCTTTAGTTCTTGCACTACGTTTGGAAGATTTGCAAATGATTTATAAATAGAAATTGATGATGACAGCAGTAGCAATTTTCATGGATGTCATATGCAAACTCCCATAGTTAGAAAGGCATTCACAATATTTTGCAAGGAACTGAAGCTGAGGTTACTCAAATCGCAGGTCCTTCTGTCGACATATGGCGTGATTTCGTATCATGATACATAATCAGTTGTCAGGAGAACAATTTAAATGTCTGGTCTGGATTCTTCTGATAATGGGCTTGTGATGTTAATCAGAACCTTTGTTCTTTGGATTACGTTCATTTTCAACCACTTATTTTATTGTTGTGGCCTATAAACTGCAATTACTACATTAAGCAAGATTCAAGGCCATCATCACAAGCTGACTGAACTTGAGAACATTGATACCCATGCGGTGTGGGGGGGAGGGGGTGGCTCTCACATACCGGGGCAATTTTTCTGAAGCTAGCAGGCAACATTCTACCCCCCCCCCCACACACACACACCAGTGTCTTCAAAAGGAGTTGTGCTCTTTAGGCTCTTTTGTTACAGGGGGAAAAAACAACCACACAGCATCTGCTAAGGTTCCTGCACAGAGACGAAACATCCTATTACATTAGTGTCTACTAATAACAAGAATGCCCTCAGTGGCTCATCCACATGGACACTTTGCTCTGCTTTGCCTCCAACCCCATAGCCAGGAATTTTTTCGGGGGGGGGGGGGGTACTGGGACGCCATCACTAATTAAATTAAATTAAATGGGCTAATCTGCAGCGTCCCCCCACCCCAATCTTCCCTTTCAGCCTCTTAAGCTCCTTACGCTGGGCCCGTCGGCTATGCAAAATCTTGGGAGTTCATGCTCAGTCTAGGATCGTGTAAAGAGTTTGGGATTTGAATGCAATTCAATGCAAAGAGCCCAAGGCTGAATTGGAGAGGGGGAAATCATGGACGTCATAAAGAGAGCTCTGCAATGCATTTGTCTTTAAAAGACCGACATTGCCCTTTTAAGAAGCCGGGGTAAGGGTGGCCGCTCAGGTAGGCAGAGCCCATTGGCAGTGGTGGCTCCTATGGCAACCCAATTGGATGAGCTGCCTTCACGAATATTTCCCCCCCTCCAACCCCAGTCAGCTACACGAGGAATCGGGAACAAGGGCAGCAGGAGAAACCGGTCTCCTTAAGTGCCTGTTCCAAGCCCTGAAGTGTGTAAAAGAAAGGGTACTTAAAGAGACATATGTCTCTTTAAATACAGGCGTGTGCCACTGCTGCAGCATGACGCTGGGAGGGAAGGGGGGTCTGGCATCCTCCCAGGGAGTACTGGAGGTCATCTGTGGGGGGCACCGCCCCCCCGTGGCTACGGAACTGCTTGCCTCCCAAATTAGTGTATTGGGGTCTTTGAGGCATTCATATGACATCGTCACGCAATCAATTCCAGGTTTTCCCCTGCTTCATTGCAATCTTTTCTAAACCTGCACTGATACAATCTTTTTGAAAGATCATAATCAAAGTAGGTTTGCTCACCCTACCCACATTGACACCATTTTTTCTTGGCATCCCCTCATGCCCACAATTCCCCTACCCCACGTACTATTGGACCTTCGGCTGACAATTTTTTAAAAAAGTATTTTCTATAGTGTCAAAACTATAAGGTAGTTACTATCATGTTTTTTAAGCCCCCCCCCCAATAGCTAGCAATAGCAATAGCTAGCCCCTGGTTGGTAGTGGGAGGGAAATGGTGGGTACAAGGAGATACTGAGGAAAGCATGGAGCATACCCCCCCTGTGGACGCTCCATTGCGTCTGTGAATGCCTCTGCATTTGCAGCAACGAGTGTACACATCACCAGGTGTACGCAGCCATTGGGGGCACAGGCTGTCCTCTCTGGGGAGTGATGTTGCCATCTATTCTCTTGCATCACCGATCCTGTTTCTAGGGGATATTAAGATTCCTTATGATTATCCACCTTCTCCTGGATCAGTATGCATACTCCTGGTTGCATACTACAAACTAGGCGTATACCATCTGGCCCTGCCTTAGCGGTGAGTTCAGACATGCAGGTTCATCACTCCATGTGTGTAACAACAGGCGTTGTTAACTAGTCAGCACAGCTTAAACACTGCTCAGGGATGTATTTCCTTTTTGGTTGTGTTTTTTCAGATCTCCTGGCATCACTTCAAACACTACCGCAGCCAAGGGAATACCTTTGCAATGTGTTTTCAGTGCTGAACTATTAAGTGGAAAGGCTGAAAGAGTTGGGTATGTTTAGCCTGGGAAAGAGAAGGCTTAGAGGGGATATGATTACAGTCTTTGAAGGGCTGTCATATAGAAGATGGAGCAGATCCAGGGGTCATTTCCTGCGGGAGCGCACAGGAGCGGAGCTCTGGCAGTAAGGAGCCCAGGGGGCGGGCACATGCAACAAGCCCCACCCCCTGCTCCCAGCAGCCCTCAGTCGGGCCACAAGGAGCAAGAAGCAGCCAGGTAAGTTGCAGAGCCCCTCCCCCGGCCTGCCTTCAGGTACAAGCTCTCCCTCCTCTGTGAGGGCAGATCTGCGCGTTCTCCCCCCCCAATAGCTAGCAATCCAAAACAGTCCAGTGGAGCCTGAGCAGTGGGTGTTGCCTTCTGACACACTTCCGGTGATGTCAGGGGGTGTGGCATATGCAAATAAGTAATGCTAATGAGTTATGCTAATGAGCTCCTGCACCTCTTTTTCTACAAAGCATATCTATTTTCCTGCTCCGGATTGCAAGACTAGATCTAATGGGTGGAAATTACAAGGGAGTCGTTACCGGCTAAATATCAGGAGAAACTTCCTAACTGTAAGAGTGGTTGAGCAGTGGAACAGTCTGCCTCGGGAGGTGGTGGATGCTCCTTCGCTGGACATTTTCAAGTGGAGGCTGGATGACCATCTTTCAAGTATGTTGTAGGTATGTAGGGCTATCTTTCGGCTATGTTCCTGCAGCGTCCAGGGGGTTGGACTAGATGGCCTGCAAGGTCCCTTCCAACTCTAACATTCTATGATTCTATGATGAGACACTGGGCTATATGAAACTGGTCCTAAGTGTATTATGGGAAAACCCTTGGTTGAACCCTCACCTCTTCTTGAACTCGATTCAAATTCTGGATCAACTGCATCTGCTCCTGGGTCAGTTTCTCCAGCTCATAGGACTTCTTTTTTATTTCCTCCGCCATGTTTTCTGTGATTGCATGACGGGTACTCTGCTCTTCTGACAGCTGGGTCTCAAGGTCTGCTACCCGCTTTTCAAGGCTTCGCCGCTCTTCTGCCTCACTGTTCTCTGAGAGTTTGGTCTGGGCTTCATGGAGTTCCTTTCCAAGGGTGTCCATTTCCATTTTCAGGCTGTTCACAGCACTGCGCACTAATGAAGGTATCTGGAAAAACAAATCTGGCATTCGTTTGTTTGCAAGACGTTTTCCCGGTTAAACAGATTTAAGATACGTCCAAGAGATTCCTGCAAGAGAAAGTTTCAGGAGGGCAGCCATGGCTGGTCTGCAGCAGGAGAGCTGGATTTGAGCCCAGAAGCACCTGAGAGACCAACAAGCTTTTCGGGGGGGGGGGATAAACTTTAGAGAATCAAAGCTCTCCGACGTAACTGACGAAGGGAGCTTTGACTCTCGGACGCTTATATCCCCCCAAAATCTTGTTGGTCTTTAACGTGCTCCTGGACTCGAATCCTGCAAGAGAAAGGACAGGTAGCACTAATGGTGCTTTGTGCTTGATGAAAATGAATGGGATGAAAAGGTGCTTTACAGAAATAAAGCATGGAGGAAGGAAGAGAGCAAACAAACTGCCCACGGTCTTAGCAGCACTTGAAATGGCCGAACAGGAAATGGGCCTTTTGCCTCTCAAACTTGGGGGCGGGGGGCGGGGGAGGCACAGAACTGTTTTGGATTATCCTCATTAAAGTGAGCTGTAGAGCGGTAATGCTTAAACGGTTCCAGGACACACAAGTACGCAGAGAAAGAAACTGTTAGTGTGGCCTGACAAATCAAATAAATAATTAAAGGCTTCTAAAGCCCACCCACAGATGAGTCTGCCCAGTGTATCTCCTATGCTATATTTATTTACATTATGTATAGCCTGCCTTTCTCACTGGGACTCAAGGCAGATCACATAGTGTTAAGTCAAATACAATCAGCAGTGTGGGACACCCAACAAAACAGTGCAAAAGACAGTTTGGATAGCGGAAATCAGAAACAGCTGAAACTACCTGAAACAAAACTCAAGCATAATCAGGCTCCACTAGAAGCAGGTAATTTGGTAGCTGATTCAGAAGTGATTGGATGGATCCCTAAACTCTGCCCGTTGCAGAAACTGAGCAGGCTCACCTTGCAAGGGGTCTGCCAAGCGTCACTCCAGATGTTCCTGCTCTGGGCTTGCTCAGAGCCAGGACTTACCCAGAAGGACAGAGGGCTCCTCTAAGGGTAGGCGAGTCTTACTACTACATACTGCAGACGTGATTCTCTGTCTGGAAGGTGGCCTTGTTTAAGGAGAGGCAGAAATTTGCAGGTAGAAAGAAGAAATAACATCAGTCAGAGAACAGTAGAGCGACTGAATGACAGAGCCAGGTGAAAGACCAAAGGAGATATACTTTTCAGAAAATATCCACAGGAACACTACTTAAAATTGTCATCTAGTGCCATTGTAGACAAGATAAAAACATATTTTATTCTTAGGAATGGTATTCTCAGAAGAAAAATATAAGCATGTTCAGGAAAAGGCTTGGTGTTACTGCGGTGGGAAGGCCAGGTCAGGAGTCTTGCTTCGTCAGGAGTACCCTTTGAAAAGCCAAAAAATGGCTTGCACAGCCACAGACCAATCTATGGTATTGCTAAGTACTGCTAAAGACACAATGGCTGTGGGGGTGATGAGATGTTGTGGTAAGAGTGTTGGACAGTCAAGATTTGGGTTCAAATTCCCACTCTGCCATAAAGCTCACGGGGTGGTCTTGGGCCACTTGCCCTTTCTCACCTAACTTTACTCACACAATTATTGTGAAGATCAAATGGAAGAAGGAAGAATCATGTATGGGGCCCTGAACCCCTTAAGGGAAGGAAGGGATAAACATGTGGGTGACATAATGTCAGAGATCACGTTTTTCCCTGCAACAAAATACTGTCTTTTAGTTCCTGGGAAAAATGGGATTTCCCTGCAACAGAAGAAAATCAAGAGAAAGGGCTTAGATTATTCAGAGAGTGTGATTTATAGTTCCTTCCACCGTAGCCTATATCTAGCGTTATATGCATACTGAAAAGCAGGCAGTTAAAATGTTTTACTACTGCCAGGTTAAAAAAAATCTTTTTTACTATTTTACTCATTCATAACAAGTCATATGACATTTTCTTCCTCAAATTAAACTGGGGATGCCAGATCCATTTCTATTTTTGAATTAAGCTCAGTCTAAGAATTCTTGGTTTGTATTGAAAAGAATAGGAGCTGCGGTGGCTCAAGTGGTTAAGACGCTGAACTGCAGGCTGTGGAAGGTTGGTAGTTCAGCAGTTCGAGACCCGGGTGCCGCATGACGGAGTGAGCTCCCGTCTCTAGTTCCAGCTCCTGCCAACCTAGCAGTTCGAAAGCAAGAAATTGCAAGTAGATAAATAGGTACCACTTCGGTGGGAAGGTAACAGCGTTCCGTGCGCCTTGGTGTTTAGTCATGCCGGCCACATGACCACGGAAACGTCTTTGGATTGCGCTGGCTCTTCGGCTTTGAAACGGAGATGAGCACCGCAACCCTAGAGTCGGACTCGACTGGCTTTAGAGCAGAGCAAGGGAACCTTTACCTTTTACCTTTTTATTGAAAAGAATTAAGCTTGCTTGAACAACCCATTATTCTGTGCTAAACAAAATTTAATCCAAGCCTACTAGGGATGGAAGAATGTCCTGAAAGAGGACTTGTTTTATGTTATTGGTTAGCCTTGGACAACAGTCCTTGAAGTCACTCCAGCTTCCAATTGCTCAGTCTATCCAACCCAGGGCTGAACAGAAAAGGCAAAGTGGATGGAACAAGAGCTGGCAATTCATGGCAGAGCCGGAGGTTCGGGAGTCATTTCTCTTCCAGCCTGGCTCAGTGTAAGTAACAGCAAGACTGTTTTTGATGGAATTCTCAATCCCACAAAAGAACGTTATGACCCATGAATGACCCAAAATAACCATCTTAGGGGTGTGCCTGAAGCTCCTTGGAATTCTTTGTTCTTCTAGACAGGACAACAACTCAGGAATGGCAACCTAGGAAGACAGATTGCATAAACAAACCCATTTTGAACAAGATAAGGTGCCTCAAACATCCTTAGATCGTCTGCCCAGGTCAACAAGAACAGTTGGATTCTAGAATTATTTATTAATGTCAGCCTACATTATCAAATTCTGAAAGGAGCTCGGTCGTTTGTGACTATGTCTTAACAACACGATTGCCTCATATGACCTATGTGAAAAAATTAAGTGAATATTATTTCCCCCAATGCATTTTTAGTCCCAGAGCAGTTTATATTCAGTTGCTAAAACCTTTTTTTGTAGCAGCTCATCCTGATCTCTCTGATATTTTTCTATCAATTCCTGATGCTTTTGTTTCTCGATGTCTAATTCCATTCTAGCCTCTTCCTTGATTCTCAGAAGCTCTTCCTGGTGATGGGCTTGTTCTTTTTCTCGATCAGCTTCAATCTAGAAAGCAAAAAAAATCTGGCTGTCAGTAAGTATCTATTCAAATTTACACCATCTCGCCATGGAATGCCCAGTACATAATCCAGCATAGTTTAGCTGCAAAAACAACAAGACTTTTAAGTTAGTCAAGACTAGGAGCTGGATGAAATGTAAGTTTACTCAGAAGTAAGCCACACTGAGTTCAATGGAACATGCTCGCAGTTCAAGACCGATTTCATTATTTCCTGAAAAGTACTCGGAAACGTTGAGTGATTCAGCAAAGAGTACTTTATTAAATCAAGAACAAGACAGGGAACCCCGGCACGCAGGCCGGTATATATGCCCAGAACCCACCACCAAAACACACCCCCTAGTGACCCTATAGGTTATTTACAGTGGCCGAGAGTCTCATAGGCTCTCGGTCGCGGACATTGCCCTCTGGTTGGTGCGGGCTAGGATCCGCTCTGCTATTGTTCTCATGGAACGAAGCTTTGGACTTGTGCGCGATCGCATGGCCCAACGGTCGCGCACGTGGCAATACGGATACATTACACCCCTCCCCCCATGGTCCAGACTACCCGCACACAAAGTCCTGTAGGTACGCTGGGGCCGTCCGAGTCCTGGTGGAGCGGCGGGGTTCCGGGGCGGCGGCCTGGGCTGCCCCGTAGTCCTGTGGCGGGGAGACTCTCGGGTGTTACCGGAACTGGAGCGGGTGCTTGGGTCTGTGCCTCCGGCTCGTTGGCTGACGCCTCAACAGCTTCTGGGAACTCCAGGTCCTCGGGGTCGTTCGAGAGAACCCTTCGCCGAAGCTGATCGATGTGGCGGTGTAGCAGTTGGCCGTCCTCACTAGAGACTTCGTAGGATCGCGGGCCCCGCACTCGGACCACGCGAGCGGGGATCCAAGGTGGCCCTTGTGCATAGTTCCGCG